GGTGAGATCAAGATTGCCCCAATTCCAACACCCTTTGTGTTTACTGCTTCATTGAAGAACATTTTCCAAGCATTGGTGTCTTCGGATATTGCCTCGACTGAATTTACCTCTTCATCTAGGAAGTAAGTGTTCAAAGGTTGGTATTCATCATCGACCGGATTTTCAGCCAAATGATCTGCTAACGCCTAGGCTTTCATTGTAGTGCGAGTGATATAGACTATGTCAAATTCCGTGAGCAGGATCTGCCACTTCGCTAACCTCCCAGTGGGCATTGGCTTCTGGAATATGTATTTTAAAGGATCCAACCTGGTTATGAGGTAAGTGGTGTAGGCTTGCAAATAATGCCTCAGCTTCTGAGCGACCCAAGTTAAAGCGCAACAAATTCTTTCCAGTAAAGTGTACTTGGCTTCATAACTAGTAAACTTCTTGCTCAACTAGTAAATGTCCTGCTCTCTCTTTCCGGTCACATCATGTTTCCCGAGGACACAACCGAAAGAATTTTCCAAGACTGTCAGATATAGGAACCGAGGCCTCCCTGGCTCAGGTGGGACCAACACTGGCCGATTCGACAGATATTCCTTGATTTTATCGAAAGCTTCTTGGCACTCATTTGTTCATTTGATCGCCGCATCTTTCTTTAACAACTTGAATATGGGTTCACACGTGGAGGTCAATTGGGCAATGAACCGGCTGATGTAGTTCAATCCACCCAACAAACTCATACATCCTTCTTGGTTTTCGGAGGAGGCAAATCACGAATGGACTTTATCTTTGTTGGGTCTAACTCAATGCCCCTTCGGCTGACTACGAAACCCAAGAGTTTGCCAACTGGGACTCCAAATGCGCACTTGGCAGGGTTTAGCTTCAAATCATATTTGCATAGCCACTCAAAGAATTTTCTCAAGTCCCGAATATGGTCAACCTGAGTTTTGGACTTGATGATCACAACATCCACATACGCCTCTATCTCTTGGTGCATCATATCATGAAAAATGGCCCTCATGTAGGTTGCCCCGACGTTCTTCAGACCAAATGGCATGAATGTGCCCCAGGGTGTGGTAAAAACTGTCTTTTCTTTTCTGCATCTTCTTCATCCATCAACACCTGGTGATATCCTGCATAACAATCCACGAAGGACTATATCTCATGTTTGGTGCAGTTATTAACAAGGATGTGGATGTTCGGCATAGGGAAATAATCTTTGGGGCTTGCTTTGTTTAAATCTCTGTAATCCACACACACTCGGGTTTTTCCGTCTTTCTTTGGCACTGGGACTACATTGCCCAACCATGTAGTGTACCGAACCACCCGGATCACCACTGCTTTCAACTGCTTTGTGACCTCTTCTTTGATCTTATCACTAATATCAGTTTTAAACTTTCTTTGCTTTTGCTGGACAGGGGGACAATCGGGGTATGTTGTCAACTTATGAACCACCAAATCAACACTCAGTCCTGGCATGTCATCATATGACTAAGCACACACATCTTTGAATTCAAACAAGAGTTGGATTAATGCGTCCCGAGTTTTCTCATCTGCGTGAATGCTTATCCTGGTTTCCCTGACTTCTTCAAAACTACCCAAATTAATCGGCTCAGTATCATTTAAGTTCGGGTAAGGTTTATTCTCAAATTGTTCCAATTCTCGATTTATTTCCCTAAAAGCCTCTTCTTCATCGTATTCCAGTTCTTGGTTCATTATTTCACAGTTAGACAGCGTGTTTGTATTTGGGCATGAAGTCCGCAAGCATATCATGTTATTTAAAGCCGCATTATTAGAACTGAAAGAAGAAATAAAAGAGAAAAATAACAAAATCAGAAAGAATAGAGAAAGATGAAAGATGAAATATTGATTTAATTTCTTTGAATTTGAAGATAACAGGGTTTACATTGGTAATTAAAAGACAAGAAACTAAAGAAAAATATCCAAGTTACACCCTGGAATAACTCGTGATGCAGAAAAAGTGGCAGGACAGGTCTACCGGGACTCCGGCCTGATTGGGAATGGTGTAGCCTTCCAATTCTGCAGTTTGGCATTAGGTCCCATATACAGCACCTCAGCGGTGCTTGAGCCTTCCCCTGGTTAGACTATGTGAGTTTCATACAGTATCTTCCTCATGGCCCCACAAATTTCTTCGATTTTTTCGGCCGTAAAGGCCTTATCTTCCTCTCCCTAATTGTATTTAGGCTTGACAAATGTTCTATACAGTGCGGCACCGGCTAAGGCAAAACCCAACCATCATTCTTTCTATCATCTTCCCATTTCCCATCAGCTGGCGTGGGACAGAAGCCTACCCCAAAGAATTTCTCACTGGCAGTCAGGGTGATAGGTTCAACTATTCCTTGCAATGATTTCCCGAGCCCCTTCCCAGGTTTGTCCATGTCGGATCATTTCTTTGGCCACCATGATTGATGCATTCGAAAGGAAGGGTTGAGGGCAAGGGTTTCCTTCTTCACACTGGTCTGCGACCACAATCTCAAACGCCTGATAGACTATGTGCTCACTACCCTCTCTTGCTTCAAGACATGGGACTGACGGGTCCCGATAGATTGACTGTTCGTCCTCTTTGTGAACTACGATCTCCTGATCCTCATGCTCAAACTTTACCAATTGGTGTAGAGTATAAGGCACAACCCCTGCTGCGTGAATCCACGACCTTCCCAAGAGAAAATTGTATGAAGTATCCATGTCCAAAACCTGGAAGGTTACTTTGAAGTCTACTGGCCCGATAGTCAGGATTAGATATATCTCTCCTATTATATCCCTCTTTATGCCATCAAAAGCACGCACACAAATGTTGTTTGGTCTGATCCTCTCAATACCGATTTTCATACACTGCAGAGTTGAGAGTGGGCAAATGTCTACCCCAGACCCGCCATCTAGCATGACCCTTTTTCACGTAATACCATTCGCATTTCACAGTCAAGTGAATGGCTTTGTTGTGTGCAGCTCCCTCCGGGGGCAGATCATTCTTGCTGAAGGATATTTGGTTGATTGCAATCCCTGCCATCCATTCCAACTGTTCTACAATGGTTTCAACAGGTACATATTCTTCGTTGAGAGTCTTGATTAATACCTTTTGATGTTCAGTGGAGTTCATCAACAAAGATAACAGAGAGACTTGAGCGGGAGACTTTCGAAGTTGGTCGATTATCTCGTAATCTGCCATTTTCATTTTCTGAAAGAACGCCTCTGCTTCCTCAGCACTCACCAGCTTCTTAGGTGGGAAATGCTTTTTCCTGGCGTTATTCACCTCTTCCAAATTGAAGTGCTTCTCGGCCGGGCTATTTTCCTGAACTTCTACCAATATCTCTTTGCCTTTGTAAGTCACTACCGATTTGTTATAGTTCCATGGCATAGTGGTGGGATCCGTCATGGGCCTTTGTGGCGCGCGGCCAATAACCACGGGCTCACTCAGCCTTGGTGGAATTATTGGCCCCCGCATCACGTAGGTCCCCTTAGGCACATACATTTGAGCTCCCTTGTTTAACTCAAACCTTCTAGGAGGACTCAATGATATCTGTTCTTTCTTGCGACCTCGAGGGACAAGAGAACGGCATCCTTGGAGGGCACCGACCCGGTTTCAACTTCTACTTTCGTTTCCATCTTTTGAGGGGTGGCTTTACTCTTTTTCTCCCCCTTATCTTGTTTCGTGACAGCTCTTGGCTTCTTTTCCATGTCAGCTATAGCAATGATAACTTTTACAGTTGGGTCAAATTTCTTGTCTTCACAAATCATCCCAATAACCGGCCCGTTGTTGTGAGCCGGTAGTGGATTGTTGGTTACATTGGGAATATCTTTGTCCCTTAGCACTATTCTCTTTTGTTCTATCAAATCTTCCACAACCCTTTTCAAAGTCCAACAATTTTCTAAATCATGTCCTTCAGCCCCTGAATAATAAGCACATCGGGTGCCACGTTGGTAAGAGGGTGAATCCGGGTTTTGCCTATTCGGGGGAATAGGTTGCAACAAACCCATTTGGACCAACTTGGGAAATAGGCTAGAATAGGACTCACCAATGGGTGTGAAGTTTGTTCTCCTTAGTGGCTCCCAGGCACGAAAGTTGTTTTGTGGATGTCGGGGATTGTAGTGAGTTTGGTAAGGAGGTGGATTTCTGGGAAGTGGAGTTAAATTGTTGTTGTGGCCTGACATAGGGTTGGGCATTCATCACTGTGTATGGCATAGGAGCATAAGCTACATCTTGGTGGGGATAGTAGTGTTGTGGGATTCTTACGGAGAAAAGAGGTCTGGGTGGACGGGGTTTTCTTGCACTCGAAGTTGCCATTGAAGTTTCTTCCTTTTTCTTTCGGTTTGCTACTCCTCCAGACCCACCTTGGATGGCTTGGGAGGTAGCCCTTATAGCAAACTGACTCAAGATTCGCCCTGTTTTCAACCATTTCGCCGATTTTGATGGCTTCGGTGAACGGCTTGCCCATTGCAGACATCATGTTTTGAAAATAATTAGCCTCTTAGGCTTGGAGGAAGACCGTGACCATTTCAATTTCGTCCATTGGAGGTTTTACCCTAGAGGCTTGCTCACGCCATTTGACAACGTATTCTCGGAAGCTTTCCGAGGACTTCTTCTTTAGATTTGTCAATGAGTTCCTGTCAGGGGCAATATCAATGTTGTACTGAAACTGCCTGACAAAGTCCCGAGCAAGGTCATCCCATATGTGCCAACGGGATATATCTTGGTCCATATACCATTCAGACGCGATGCCGACCAAACTTTCTCCAAAGTAGGCCATGAGGAGCTCCTCTTTTCTGCCCGCTCCCTGCAATTGGTTGCAATATCTTTTGAGGTGGGCAATAGGATCTCCGTGCCCGTCATATTTCTCAAACTTCGAGGTTTTAAATCCAAACGGTATATGTACGAGGGAGCATACCCAAGTCGGCATAGAATACACTTTTCTGTCTACTCAGACCTTGTATGTTTTTGAGACTCTGCTCCATACTTCTCATCTTTCTCGCAATCTCTTCTTGTTCATGAGTTCTTGTGGTTTTCTCTTGCCCTGCGGTGAACTCATACCGGGGCGGCTGGGAATAGGTATAGGTAGGGAACAGTGGAGGTTCCAGTGGGAAAGATGGTGTTTGGAAGGTGAAGGACGATGGGTCAAAGATGGGCCTGGGTGGTGTAGGTTTTGCTATAGCCGAGCAAGATGGGGCAGTGAATATATTTGAAGTCGCGCCTGAGACTAAAACCTGGGGGCGAGCCTCAGAAGGTGTTCCCACAAGGTTGGCGGAAATGGTAGGGTGTCCCAATGGGGTATTTGGATAATTTATGGGGATGTTGGAGGTCCCACTTGCCCTGAGAAAAAGCTCGGGAAATCCAGGGATTTCACTTGGTGGTTCTTTTCCATTTGCCCAGGAGTCCAACATTTCCATCATACGGAGACGCATAAACCTATTTTCCTCGGCAGCTGCCGATTCTGAGGTTGGGATGCCCGAGATCGAACTATCATCCACAATAGGAACTGTTGGAAGAGTCATTTCTGAAGACATTTCAACGCTAACTTTCGAACTCGTGAAGTATGGATGCGAATCCAGACTACCACAAAACCAACCACCTTACTGTAAAACCTATGCTATGAATAGTAGACAATAAACTGGTTAGTTTGGAGCAAATAACACACAGGTAATCGCACGTTGGGGTGTGATGCACCTAAACAGTTTTCACAACGTTTGCATGTTTCTTCCCGGCTTTGCTTATTTTCCCCAAAGTTCTTTTCTTTCCACTTCGGCTTTTCATGCCTCTACTCCCATTTTTCTTTTGATTTTTCTTTGGCTCTCTTTTCTTTCTTTTTGGTTTTTTTCTAGATTTTTCCCTTTTTATTTGAGCTATTTACAAAACCATGACCGGATCCGATGAGGATTGCCTACGTATCACGACACCCGCGTGAATCAGATCGTAACGTAGTTCAAGATAAATAAATGCGAAAAATAAAAAGACAATTTTGGGAATTTTTGATTTTCATTAATAAAAACTCCTAAACTTTCTATTACAAAAGACTTCAAACTACTCATTTTCTTGGAATATAAAACTATGAACAGACTCAAAATGGACCAAAATACAGACTCGATAAATGGAAAAATCAGGAATACATTAAAGCTTCGACTCTTGGGGCCCGTGGGACATCATTTGGTCTCACCACGGGCCTATATGCGAGATCCCCTTGAAGCCTCTCCAAATCACTCATTATCTGGCGGACAAATGTCATCACTGCAATGAAGAAAGTGGTTTGAGTCATGTCCTCACATGCTTGGCATTTTGTGAAAATGTAGTCGGTAATGGCTCTAACCCTCTCCCGGATTCTACACTTTTCTTGAAGCAGACGCCCGACTTGCTAATTCCTGGCTTCTAGCACCTGAGTGTCGTGATGGTTTTGATTTTGCAGCTGTCGCATTTCTTCCTCATTCTGAGCCATCAAAGCACAACAATGTTCCCTATCAGCTTTAAAGTTCTTGGCCTGTCTGGCCGCCTCATTTTCAAGGGTAGTTATCTTTCCCATCAGGTTGGTGATTGTCCCCTCATATTTTCTTTTTATTTGTCGCACAAACTATGCCCTCCCTTCTGCATTCTTTGCCAATTGGGCCCGGACTTTTGCTAAACTGGATTCAGACTTGTCTAGGTCATCTTGACACTCAAGTGCTTTCTTTCTCAGACTGTTTATAACCCTTTCATCCGCTCGACTTCTTTCCTGGTTTTTAGCAGCTATCCTCATTTTCTGGATTTGGGCTTTGAGGGCTTCATTTTCCTGAGTTAGATTTTTCTTTTCCCCTTCATCTACGGCGGCCTGGATACTGTTGTCAAACTTGAGGTCCCTGATTTGTCCCTCTAATTTACTTATTTTAGCCCTATATCCTTCTTCCTTTGCCAACCAGCCCCACTGCTCTTACGAGTCGTTAGTGAATTGTTGAACATGAGCTCTCTTAGCGGGTCTCTCAGAAATCTGAAACCTTTTACCAAACTAGATAATGTACTTGGGGTCTGCCTCACCTCTAGCTAGATCCCACACCATAGTCTTAGGTTCAAGAAATCTGCACTCATTCCACATTTGATAGACTCTTCCTTCTGGGAACACAGCCTTGGGGCCCAATTCAATAACTTGTTGACTCAAATCCTTGTCATGAGGAATAATTTGAAACCTGCCCAATTGGCACAAAACCCAGTGAGAAGCATATGGCTGGATGCTTTGGATACCCATCAGGAGAAAATAACATACTTCGACTGACATGTACACACCCTTGGTGACATGGAGCCATCCGAACGCCCATTCAATTTTATCAGAAGTCAAAGAGCTCAAACATGCCAACCAAGACTCGGTACCCTCGGGAAATTCAACACCCACCACACGGCTTTCAAATTCTTCGATGCAATTCAAACCGGTCATGCCATAATTCATATACCCGGCACGGTGGCAGAGATGTTCCTATATCCACAACTGTAGTAATAAGTTGCAACCTTGGAAGAACTTTCCGCCTTCTCGACAGATGGTCAAAGCTCGGTAAATTTCAGACAAAATCAAGGGAACCAGAGTGCCATTAGCTTTCTTGATTGCAACGTCAACCATTCCCACTAGGCCCAGTTCTATGTTGCGGTCTTTTCGCGGACAGACTATAACTCCCAAGAATGCTACTATAAAGACCAAGCCTCGCCTTGCCTCCCATTTATACTTATTTCCAGCATGAGTCAAACCAGTATTTGGTTCTTCAAAGCCTTGGGGGTTACCATAACGTTGGTACAAGAACTGGAAAGTACATGACCCTTCAGATAAATTCTTATCCTGAATATCCCGGCTAATACTTAACATATCCAGAAACTTGTGGGGAGATACCGGCCTTGGTAACACCGGATACCGACTTCTAAGATTTCCATTAAGGCCGGCGTAACCCGAAATTTCTTCTAGTATGGGTGTGAGCTCAAAATCAGAAAAGCGGAACACATTTCGAGTCGGATCCCAAAAAGGTATCAAGGCTTCAATTATGTCCAATCTTGGCTTGATGTTTAACAGTCCGACAAGACCACCCAATACTTTAATCACAGTTCCTCTACTGCCTTTTCCCAAATCATTCCACCACATATGAATTTGTAAGGGGATTTCCTCAAGAGCTGCGAAGGGTTCATTTTCGTTTGTGCTCATCCTGCACATTTATTAGGGTGATTTAATAACTCATTTTGACTCAAGAAAAGATTAACACTTTTTTTTCAAAAGTTTTCATTCCAAAAACAAAAACCCGTCTTTGCAAATACGCCCTTTCAGCACTTCAGGGAAGAAGATTTTAAGGTTGTACTCGACAACCGGTCAAAAATTTGAAAAAGAGACCACATGCGGCTGTTCTTGCAAAACGGCCTTCCGGCGCCCTTTTGGGGACATTCGACTATTTTAGACAAGAATAACATCACCATACTTATTCACAATAAAAAAAATATTTTTGTTCTTTTTGGGCTATTTTTGCAAAAAGGGAAGTTGGACCCGATGAAGGTTGCCTACGTATCCCACATCCGGTGAGAATCAAACTGACATAGTTTGGGAAGATTTGACAAAATGAAAACCGACTAATTTAAAAGACAAAACCTTTTTTTTTCTTTTTTTTTTCTCTTTTTTTATTGTTTTGTTTTTTTTTTCAAAATTTTGGCAGATTTTCAATACCTTTTGGATATTGGTTTTTCAAAACAGGTAATTATCTCTCTAAGCCCTAAATTTTTTTTTCTTTTCCCCAACTTTCTCTTATTATTCAAAAGCCGGTCAACATGTAAATTCGAAGCAAATAAATGCACAAGTAGCAAGTAGAATGCATTAGGATAATCTTTTCATTTCAGGTACACCTGTCCTAGACAAACACAACCCCTATGTTGAGTCTCCAAAGTCAAATGCACATGATGCAAACAAACGTTCCTACTAGGGATCCGGCATGAGGTTTTGTTATACTAGGTTTAAAAGCCTGAGTGTATTGTTCTATACCTGGCTTACCCGAGCGGACAGCTCGAGCCGCGGGGGAGAGGGGGGGCAGTGTACCGGGAATACAGAAGTTTCACCGGCTTTGCAACTTGTCTGAACCTCGTTCTAAAATTAGATAAGACTCTAAACAGAAGAGAAGTCACACGAAGTGCATACTCCCCAGATGATTTAGAAGACTCAGAGAGAAGAAGGGTTTCGCAGCAGTTTATATACAGTTCACAAAATATCAAAGCGGTAAAAGCGACAATTAGCACATTAGGCTCAAACATATAGAAAATCAGGTAATAGATAAAGACAATCATAACAGCTATTCTAAGCTCGAATTCTTAAACCCTGAATCGAAGTTCTGGGTTTGGGTTCCCAGCAGAGTTGCCAGAGCTGTCAGACCTCCTTTTTACACACCCGAAGGTAGTACAAGGGAGTTTTTCCAATTTAAGTGACATTATTCGAAATGGGATTATTTATTTATGTTATTCAGAGTCGCCACTTGGGATGGTTTGTTTTCTGGTGTCCCAAATCACCGGTTTATTTTAAAATCCCAAATCGAGGAAAATTCAACTTCCTTTTTGAAGTCTGCGAACTAGAAATTCTAAATAAGGAATTCTGTTAACCCGAGGGAAGGTGTTAGGCACCCCCGGATTCCGTGGTTCTAGCACAATCGCTTAAACTATTATAATTAGTCTATTATCTGATTTATTATATGTTTTAGACTATGGTACATTTTTAACTTATTAGCCGTTTTTAACTAGTTTTTTTTAGGAAAATTCAACGTCATTTAAAACACGTCTTTGGATCACGCCACATGAAATGCACCTGCGATCTACGACATATTTTATTTAACGTTGTTAGGATTTGGATTTGGGTCACATGAAATGCACACTCGAGTTTAAGGAAATTAATTAATAAAATAATGCGCCTAAAGCAACTACGCGCTTTGAAATTTGCGAGAGCCATGGAAAATTCGACTAAATGGCACACCCTGATTTCTAAGGATTAAAACACTAATTAAATGAGGGTCGTGCATTTGTAATTTCATTTGGCACGGCTCACCTCGACTAACCTATTAAGAGATTGCTAAATTTAATTTTGAGGGCCATAGCTATTTGTTATTTAATATGGCACGCCTCAACGCATTCTTTTTAAAAAAAAAAATACTTAATCGAGCATCCGAACTAAAATGATCAAAGCAACAGAGTGGCGCATAGAGCCCAAACAAGTAGGCTCCAAGTAGCAAGTGACTGGGCTAATCGCAAGCCCATGGAATTAACATGAAACTTCCATTCATCTTTTCTTTGTAGACGAAAGAGAAAGGCATCACATTTGTTGGGCTTAGAATTGAGCCCAGAGACAAACCAAATGATCAAATCCATATATTGGTCCATTTAAATTAGTAAGAACCTTTGTAGTCTTCAATTCCAACTTTTACAAACTAAACTATTGATAAAAGAAAATAACTCAAACTCAAACATACATGCTTAGAAATGGAAACCAGAATTTTTCAAAATCAATCAGCTGAAGCACACTGATTCTGTGCAAGTCGTCACTCATTGGGCTCAAATTTGAGCCTTGATGGCAATCAACAATTAAACCCAAGGCAGGCCCAAAAAATGAGTCAAAATTATCAAAAGGAGCCATAAAAAATGTCTTGTTCATTTACTTCATAGTTTGCCTCTCAATGGAGACACGTCGAATTTCAGGATATTTATTTAGATTTTACATGCCATGGGTTTTCAAATAAATTGATATGGGATCTATATATTCTTTTAGCATATTCTATTTTTTATATAATACTAGCCAAAATACATGTACACAGTAGCAATACTAGCAAGAAACATTGACTCACACACAAGAGAAGTTAGGAAAATAAACTAAGAATACTTCTAGCTTACATGCCACTCATTTCACGTTAAGTATGAGTAAATTGAATAGTAAACATTCCATTTTTACTACTGCTTCCAAGTATAAACTTGCCTAAACATATAACCAAACAGTTCAGCATTCTTGTTCCATGATTTCACAGAGACCGAATAACTTGTTAAGACATAATAAAAACTCTTAGTGAGAAAAGCATGTAAACATTTTACACTCTGTTTAGCAATGAGATTTACTAAGAATTTAGCATTTTTGATCACTTCCAAGTTCACTAAGCAAGATTCTATCACTTACCAGCATCAATTAACCAAACAGATCATATGAATGTATTTCTATCTACCTCACAGGAATTGCACATGTAGACACAGAAAAGATTGTGACTATTTCAGCTTAATACAGATCTACACATACGCTTCCTTTCACACAACTTTCGTGAAAGAAAATGTAATAACCAATGAAATTTCTTTAGGCAAGTAGCAGTCAGATTATTTTGACCCCCATTAATGTCATTTCAAGCATGAACCATGTAATCTTGGAAACTAAATGATTATCGACATTAACCAATCAATTATCCATTAACGTTTAACAACTCGAGCCTCTTGCTTAACACACTGATACTTTTAGAGCTTAGTAGAGAGGGAAATTCGAATTAATATGACGATTATATGCTGAGTCTAAGAGCTCGGATAAAATTTTAACTTAAACAAATAATACTTTCATTCATGGTTTCAAGTCAAAAGCAACAGAGACGTATGAACATACCTATGAGAGTAAGACAACTGAAAAATAACAAGACGAAATGCTGGAACAGGAGAAGAAATTCAGCGACAGCGAAGATAACTCAGCAAATCAGCCAACCACATCCAAATCGCAACCAAAAATTCGGATAGAAATCCACAACGCCACAGTTCAGAATCCTAGCTATAGACTTTAAATTGAAATTTAATCCAAAAAAAACTTCTTTTTTAGAACCAAAGAATCAAGAGAAAGAAACCAAAGCTAAAAGAATCTCTGTTTTCGGTCATTTTTTTTGTTTTTTCTCTTCAAAAATGATGAACTCAGAACACATTTTTTTATGTTTTTTCTAAAAAAAAAACTGAAGAAGAAGGAGTTGAAGAAAAATGTCTACTAAAAAAACTGGAAATTTCGACTAAGCTTTTAAGATCTTTTTTCAGATTTTTTTTCTCCTCTGATTTTCTCTCCTTTTTTTCTACAAAGAGACTCACCTTATATAGCCTTCCAAAAATCTGAAAAAAAAATTCTGCCAAAAACTCCGAAAATCCTCACATATTTGAATAATTTTTGGGACAAATGGAAGGCGTTGATCGATTTACATCTATCCACGACCCCCATTCGTCTTGTAAATCGTCCTTTTGTATAAGAATCCACGGTTTTGAGAGAATAATCGTACTCCTCTCTGACAAATCCGTTGGAAATAGAGGTGACGTGGAGATAGAACCGTTCTGAGTGAGTGAGCTCGAACTCAGGCGAGTTGAGATCGAGCTCAGTAGAGAGGAAGTTGAATAGTATCCGCCTCTGAGTTTGTCTCTAGGGTTAGGGAGTTTGGGGGAAAAATTATAAAGGGGCTTTTAAATTAAGGGAAAACGGGCGGGTCATTTTTGTGGGTCAAGCCCGGTTTGGGCTAGGGCGAATAAGAGGGTGTTTGGGCTTAGAGAATTAATTTGTATAGGGAGAGTGGTTGGACCGAATTCGTGTGTAAAAAACTAGCCCAAATTTCATAAATGAGCCCCTTCTCCAATTCTTCCTTTAATTTCCTTTTCTTTTAATCTCTCTTCTATTTTTAATTAGAAATCCTAAAAATTAAAAACAAATCCTGAATTATCTAAAATGTAAATTAAGCTAAGTATAAAAATTATAAACATTACTCAGATCTATATTAAAAGTGAAAAATCAATAAACTAAAATTAAAGACAAAAAATATAAAAATGAGCTATTTTTGTTTATTTTCAAATTTTATAAAACAAGTAGTTACGGATTAACTCTAAAAAGTGTAAAAATAAATCCTAAATGCAATGCATGATATTTTTTGGTATTTTTATGATTTTATTAAAAATTAAACAAGCAAGAAAAATGTAAACAATTAATAAAAATCTACAAAATTCCTAAAAATGGCAAATAATTAATAAAAAAATCTATTTTATTAGATTTTGTAGGAGTATTTCCTGTATAGCAAAAATCACGTGCTCACATTACCTTTGTTGAGTCAGTGTTATTTCCAAAGGTGTGAACTGTCCTTCTTATGCAATTTGCAGTCCTTTAAGAAGAGCTAGTAGTTCTGCTTGGGTATTGGTGGTGTATTGGATTGAGCCCATGTAGCCTAATATCTAGTTTCCACTTGCGTTTCTGAATACTCTCCCCAGGCCTCCCTTGCCCGGATTCCCTGTTGCAGCTCCATTAGTATTTAGCTTGAAAGAGTTGTTGTTTGGTGGCTCCCATTTTACCTAAATATTCTTCATTTTTTTGGGTTCTTTATCCAGCATATTCAGTAGCCTTTGCTATTGCACATTTTGAGTCTGCCCTATCTCTTTTGTTATTGAAGAGGTTATTATTCCCTATTAGCCATATTTGCCAGAAACAGAAAGGGGGGAGCTCTTACCAAGTAATGATGTTGTTGTATGCTTTTTTCTTTTGGGTTGCCGAAGTGTTTGGCCAATCTATGGTGGTGAAATCATGGATAGAAGTATTGATTTCCTTATTGCTTTTGGAGATGACGTCCTGCCAGAAGGTGTGTGCAATGGTGCATTCAAAGAAGATGTGTGCTGAGATTTCATTTGTCTGGCTGCATTGGTGGCAACTGGGGTTTGATTGTACCCCCACATAATGGAGGTAGGATCCAGTGGGGAGCCTTTCATGGAAATGTAACCAGAAAAAAGATTGTATTTTTTTGGTACTTTTAGCTTCCAAACCCAAGTGAAATTGTGGGTCATGGTTTCCTGACCTTGATCTAGAATTGAGTAGGCTGATTTTGTGGAGTATAGACCATTTGGTGTTGCTCCCCATATCATTCTATCCTCGTTGACTGGATTGGGTGGGATAAAAGTATCTTGGATAGAGTTTTGGACATTTTGGGGGATGGTAATAGAGAGAGTAGAGAGGTCCCACACTCCATGTTGATGGACATTTACGACTGCTTTGGACATATCTTCTCTTGTCAGAGGACCTTGAATTAGTGACCTTATGGGAGGGAGGTTGTTTATCCAGGGGCTATTAAAAAGGTTAACTCTGTTCCCTGAGTGAACTACCCACCTTTTTGCTTGCATGCATGTTTTCCATCCTTTAAGAATGCATTGCCATGTGTGGGGCTTGGATTTTTTGGGAGGGTTCCTCCAATTGCAGTGTTTTGCAATAAGAGTTTTTACCCAAAGGGATGTTGTGTTTTGGTATAGTCTCCAAGCAAGGCCTGAGTGCTGGGCTTTATTCTTTAATTCGGGTTTCTGAATCCCCAGTCCCCCTTTCTCCTTAGGCTTTGTAACTATGTCCCAAGATATCAGGTGCATTTTCTTTTTAGTAGTAGTGGTGCCCCAGATGAAGTTCCTCTGAACTTTATCAATTTCTTTGGTTATTTTTGCTGGCAGTTTGATGTATTACATGACATGATTCGGAATTGAGTTTAGGGAAGCTTTTGCCAGAGTGGTCCTTCCAGTCAAATTAAGCATGCTTGTTTTTCAACCTGCCATTTTTGAGTGAAGATTGTCAATAATGAACTGGAAATCACTATGAGTGGGTCTTTTGTGAAAAATTAGGAATCCCATGTACTTCCCAAAGTTTGTTGATGCTTTTATGAAGAGAGAGTTTGAAATGAGTTCCATTTGATAAGGTTGGCAGTTAGCACTGAAACATACTTTGGACTTATTGAGATTGATTTTTTGCCCTGATGCTAGTTTGAAAAAATTAAGGGTATTCAGGATTGTGTTGCAACTTGGAAGGTTAGCTTTTGCAAAGAGAGTTAAATCATCAGCAAAGAAGAGATGTGATATTTTAGGGCCATTTCTGCTAATGTTGATTGGGTGTCATTCCCTTGGGTGACATTGTTGTCAATGGCTCTTGAAAACCTTTCTATACACATGATGAACAGATATGGTGAGAGGGGGTCACCTTGCCTAATGCCCCTAGTGGGCATGAAAGAGGTGGTTTTCTCTCCATTGACAATTACAGAGATGGTGGAGGAGCTGACACATGACATGATGAGATTGATGATTGTGTTTGGGAATTTGAAGCCATTGAGGGTTTGCTTAATGAAAGACCACTCAAGTCTGTTAAAAGCCTTCTCCAGGTCAATCTTTAGGATCATGTTACTGTATTTTCCCTTCATTTTCCCAAAGTGGGAGATGTACTCTTTGAATATGATGGCATTATCTAAAGCTTTCCTGTTGGATAGGAAGCTGGCCTAGCTAGGTCCAATGATGAGGGGGAGGAAAGGCTTGATTCTATTGACAATGATTTTTGTTACTGTCTTGTAGACAGTGTTGCATAAGCCTATTGGTCTGATGTTTTTGATCATTGTGACTTGAGGTCATTTTGGGATGAGGCCTAGAAGAGTGTCATTCATGACTGGGTCCATAGTGGATGTGGAGAAATATTTTTTGCAGTAAAGGATGACATCCTTACCCACTATGTCCCAGTATTTTTGGTAAAATAAAAGGTGAAGGCCATCTGGCCCAGGGGCTTTGAAAGGCTTGAAAGACAAGATGTCATTCTTGATTTCACTATCCCTTAGAGGCATTCTAATTGTTGTTTGTTAAATCTGAGAGAGGCATGGCCCTTGGATTTCAGTGGAGGATAAATCATTCTGAGAGCATGAGAGGAAGAAGGTGTAGAGTTCTATGAAGAACTTTGAAATTGTCTGTTTGATCTCCCCTTCCTCAAACATCCACTGACCAATGTCATTTTGGAAGGAAAGGATTTTGTTCCTCCTTCTTATATTTAAGGTGGAGGTATGGAAGAATTTGATGTTTGCATCTCCATCAGAGAGCCACTGGATTCTAGACTTCATCTTCCAAAAATCTTCTTCATTTTTTAAGATTGAATTAAGCTCCTCAATAATATTGTTTTCAAGGGTTTGTAAAGTGGTGCTTGTGGGATAGAGGAAAGATTTCTGGATTCCTGCTATCCTTTCTAGTAGCTTTTTTTATTGTGGAAGATGTTTCCAAAGGTATGCCTATTCCAATTGAGAGAATTAGCCTTAAAGAGAGAGGTGGAGGGGATTAGAGTAGAGTCAGGCTTGAAGGAGTCCCTAACTAAGTTTTGAAACATGGGGTGGCTATACCACATTGCTTCAAACCTGAAGGGTTTATTAGTGGGACTAGGATTGGTACTACCTAGATTGACAAGCATAGGACAGTGATCAGACTGGGTCCTTGGAAGATGAGTGATGTTTTCTTCAAGGTATTCTTTTAACCAGTGGTTATTAGCCAAATATCTGTCAATTCTTTCTAATATTAGATAGGTTTTGTTTTTGTATCTCTTGTTGGACTAAGTATACTTGCTACCTTTAAACCCTAGGTATATCAGATGACAGTTGTTAATGCAATTCCAGAGCTTCTGTGGGTGTTTATAGGATTGCCTCCAAATTTTTCTTCTGCTTTAAGAACTTCATTGAAGTCCCCACCCACAAACCAACTCCCTTTGTGAGTTTTGGAGATGTCAACAAGACTATCCTAGAGGCCTTTTCTATCTTCAAAGTGGCTACTAGCATAAATTGCAGAAAAAAACCATTGTGGGTTTGAGGGTAATACCTTGACCATGGCATGGATCCCCTGAGAGTTGACATCTACTTCATCAACTTGGAGGGAATTTTCCCTCCACATGATCACTATGCCTCCAGAATGACTAATAGCAGGGAACTGAATGTGCATGTTGAATTGAAGCTCCTCAGTAAGCTTTTTGTGGTCTGCCATTTTGGTTTCCAGGAGAACCAACATCATAGGCTTGTGAAGATTGACCATTTCAGAGTAGTGCCTCTTAAACTCCGTATTGTTTGCCCCTCTAACATTCCATATTATGAAATTCATTAGAGGGTTCAGTGTTGGAGGGCTGGTGCTCGTTGATGCTTTTTTCCTGCCCTGGGGTTGCATCGCATCTCTTCCCCTGTGTTGAGACTAATGGGATCTTATCACTGGGATTAGGGTTAGAAGGGATTTGAGAGTACCTTGGCTCAAGTAAGATGATAAGTCTAGTCCGCAACGAGCTAGATTCTTTGGGCACAATAGGATCAATGTTTCGCTGTGGTCCACGCTGAATTCGACCACCCTTACTGCTTCCAGCCACAGTGAGTCTACTCTCACCATATTGTCGATTGGTATTGCTCCTTGGTCCACCGGTGTCTCATTGTTCCTCAGTAGTTTTAGGGCTGTTGAGATTCCTTTGGAGATGTTCCCAGAGGCGATTGAGGTGGTTGTTTCTTGGGTGATTGGGGGTGCTTCTCCTGCTGTGAAGGTGAAGTTTTTAGGGTTGATTCCGGCTGGAATACTTTGAACTGTGGTGTTGCATATGGATCCTCGGCTGTGAGTTCTAGAAAGAATGGGATACTGTTGAAGAT